CTGTACCAATGAACAGGCTGCATAACATTTATATTGAATTTTAAAAATTAAAAAAAAAATAAAAAATCCCATCCCGCACCAGGAATAGTTTTTCTTTTGTCAATTTTGGCCCCTGTATCGCATTTGAGATTCCAATAAAAAGTATTTCTTGTCAAAATTTTACGTGGCCCTAGGCTGTGTCTTAAACAGCCAGGCTCTTCTAATGTTAGCCTATAACGGGTCCAACGCAAAATACAATACCAAACATAATAAATCATCTTTCCTCGTTCTTGTCCATGGCAATGATTTTGCGCGATGCGTCAGAATGGTAACGAATGCATAGTACTGATGGAATTCCTCCTCTAAGATTCAGACCATACCGGTGCTGAAATACTCTTAATAGATACACAACAAATACGATATTATCTCATTCATTCAGGGAACGAGAATGAACACAAGTTAAAGGGAGACTCCACAGAAATCTGCAGCAAAAACCATGTCCAACCTCTCGGATGTAGACAAATACAAGCTACTTCAAAAAATACCTGAATCATGCAAACCAAACACAAACATGACCTTTTGACAAACTTAAAAATGGTAATAAATCATCACATAACATGACCTTTTGACGAACTTAAAAATGGTAATGAATCATATCACATAGTTATCTTTAAGCAAATTATGAAGCTGCGTTATAGGGCAACACCACCACAGAAGCTACTTTGAAGGCACCTCAACCATGCAAACAAACACAAACACCACCTTATGAGAAACTTAAAATAGAATTAAACCATCACGCAGATACCTTTGAGCAAATCATGAAGCTGCCTAGTAGGGCAAGAAAGAATGCCAATACCAGCATATCAAACACTTAGACATCCACCTGGCAAGCCTAAGATGTGCATATTGATATGATACAAATTGAAGTATCATGTCATGCATAAATTCATTGAATTAGCTAGTGTATGTTTGCATGTTCTTGTGGAGTAAAAGTACCAAACACCAAAGGGAAGTCTGACACACATTAAAGGATCATGTCAAGCACTAATCACTCACTTTCTCCATCAAAAGCCCGGCTGAAGGTCTGAAGGAAAAGCTCTTTCACTCCCATCAAACACAAGACATAAGTGATGTATTAAACTAATAAACAATAACTGAAACAACCCCAAAGACTGTATGCTGAGGCTAGCCTATTGAGCTAACAACCATAAATTGCACCAAAAGAATGAGAGCGTCTGAGGGTTAACTGGTACACCTTGTCTATATATCAGGAAAAAACCAAGAGAGTAGGACATGAATAATACACAATAAGTCGGATAGTAGACTGGAGATTTTTCCCAGAAACAGTGCTACTGACTCAAATAAAAGAGAAAAGAAAAAAAGGTGTTACATACCAAACCTTGAAACAAATAGCATACTCATCAAATACTACAAACCTTTACTTGTTCAATTCCTCCGCAACGCGTTCGAGAGCCAACCTATCAACATTCATCAACTAAAATCAGTCATCCCGTAAGGAACACATATATCAAATTATTTTCTCTTATTTATTTGGGGTTTGGGCATAGGAGGGAGAAGATATGGCTGCAAAATAAAATTCAAATCATAAGCATCTCATCTTTACAATATGATGTAGCATGAAAAGAAAATATAATCTTCAGCCATCTGTTTCCCCAGATTCTTTAGGAATTTCTTCATAAGGGTTTCGTACTCCTGAACACAGATGATTATGCTGTTGATAGAAGTTTTTGTTGAAATTTTTTTGAAGTTTTGGACTTCATATCTCACCAACAAAAGAGGAGGAGAAATACAAACTAACAACTAAAGATGAGATGTTTTACTAATGAAAAGAAAGAAAGGGAATTCAAATAATTATGGTCTTTGGATATGTAATTTAGTTATTTATGCCTTTTTTCTGTTTTGTCAGAAAACTAAGGGTTTCTATGAATTTGCCATATTTTCACAAACAAGTTTTTCAATAAACTATAATAACACATTTCCAAAAACACCTAATCCATACAAATCTCATATACGATTAATAAAATAAATAAATAAATAAATAAACCTTCCACCTCTATCTTCTTCTACCCATTACTACCACACACCATCACCGTCCACTATTCCTCCCTTACTCCACAGCCATCGCTGCCCCTCCCCCTCTCCTCTCTCTCCTTTCTCCTCTCTTTCCTTTCTCCTCCCTTTTTCTCTTTCTTTTCCTTTCCCCTACCTACCTCCTCGACCCTCCACCCCTCTTTCCCTCTCTCAAGTCGCACCAACACGAACCAGAGTAACCCCTCATCCCCCACTTCCCACATCTTTGGTTGCAATCGGTGAGACCAAATCTGGTCACGCTGGTCACCACTAGAGAAAAAAGGAAAGAAAGGGGGTCACTTTCTAGTTCGCGCCCCCTTCCCAACCCACCTCCTCAACTAGGGTTATAAACGAATTGAATCAAATCGAGTTTTTATTTAATCAAGTTGAGCCTTGATTTAATTTTATCAAATTTGAACTCGAACTCAACAAACTATCAATCTAAAGCTCGAGGTCGAAAAAATAAAAAATAATTATTTCATTTTTTAAAAAATGAATAAAATAATTTTTCTTAATAAATAATTAAAAATTAAGAATATATATGTAATTTTATTATTAAAATAATAAATATATAATATATATATATATATATATATATATATATATATATATATATATATATATATATATATATATATATATATATATATATATATATACACTCGAGTTCACGAGTTGGCTTGCGAGTTAACAAGTTTAATATTTTGACATCGAGTTCGAACTCGAGTTTAATTTGACCAATGCGATCTCAATATTGATCGAATTCGAGACGAATTTTGATTCGAACGGCTCGATTTGTTTGTTACCCTACCTTCAACCTTTCACCCCTCCCTCCCTCCCTCTATTTGGTTGCACCGACATGAACCAGAGTAGCCCCTTATCCCCTACCTTCCCCTCTTTGGTCGCGACCAGTGAGACCAAATCTGGTCATACTGGTCACCACCAGAGACCGGAGAGGGGAAGGAGGGAAGGGGGTCACTTTCTAGTTCGCACTGGTGCAACCAGAGAGAGAGAGAGGGGGGTTGATGGGGGAGTAGGGGGGAGAGGAAAAGGAAAAGGGAGGGGGAGGAAGAGAGAGGAAAGAGGAGGGAGAAAAAGGGTGAGGGGTGATGGTGGTGGTGGAGGGAGGAGGGAAGGGTGGTGGTTGGTGAAATTTTTTTTTTTTGAATTTTGAAAAAATATCCCACTAAAATTTTAAATTCTAAAAATACTCCAAAATACACCCCCAAAACACCTATGGAAAGTTTTGCTACAATAAAAGTTTTTTTTTAAATGCTGGAATTCGTAAATCTATATTCTTCACTTTTCGCTCTTGTTATCGAATTATTCTGGCTCACAAGGAAGTCTGTTTTTGTTCCATATCTCTATATATATTTTTTAGGCACACAAAACATGTTGCGTTGAGTGTATGTAACCAGAAATATGCCTCTAGCTTTCAAGTATCATTAAACATGTTTGGCTTCATCTGGGATTTTAAAGTGAAAATTTTCTTGCAGGATCCAATTTGGCCAACAATTATATTGTAGATGTGATCGTGGTGGATGCTGGCGAGGTGTCTTTTGATTTTGTTTTTGTTTGGGTTGTTCATCGTTATTCTCTTCCTTCTGATGTAGTTATGGCTGTTCAATTTATGGTCTATTAGTATGTACCAGTTTTTTGTATCAGATTTTTCATTATTGTCCTGTTCAATAACTGCATTTGTATCTGGTCTTGGTCCGCATACGCTGATGGTTTAAATTTCAATATTTTTGGTTTTCTGTTTGCTCTTTGATAGTTTTCATGTGCAATGTCTGAACCCCAAATTTCGCATAGCTTTTTCTAGATGGTTCAGTCACGAGACTTGTAGGAGTTGTGTGTTGGCACTGAGCACATAGGTTTTAGTCTTGGTACCAGGAAAAAGGCTAGGGAGGGCTGAGAGGTTAAGTTTTTTTAAAGATTAGGGATAATTTCAGAAACCTCCCCTGAGGTTTCTGACATTTACACTCACCTCCCCTGTAGTTTGAACAATTACACTAACCTCCCCTGAGGTTACTAATCCTTTACAAATTCAGTCCAAATGATTAAAATATTGTTTTATAGAGTGAAATTAAAATTTTGTACCTGATTTGCCCTTTGTGCTACGTGTCCAATGAATGACAAAGTATTACAAATTAATTAATAATTAATAAACTTTAAGGAGCGTAATTTATAGGCAAATACGTATTACTTATTTAAAGTACCAGTTCTTTACAGGTATTTTATTTTCAAATATTTACTTTATGATAAATATATTAACGTTTGTGATTAAAAATTAAAAGTGTTACAGTAATATTCTCGCAAAAAGAAAATCAGTAAGTTATCTATTTAATATAAATTCAAACATAAATAAAGCAACCCAACATATTAAAAAAAAATATCCCCTGAAAACTGAATTAGGGAAATAAGTAGCAAAAGTCATCCAAAATATACCTTCTCAGCAAGAATGCGGTCACCTACATCAAGAGTGGGGTACATAGAAGTCGAGGGAATTGATCTTGGCTCAGCTAAAGATGATCAGAACAGAATGCTAACGCTCAAAGCAGTAAAAGCAGCCTTAGCATTATCGGAACAGACATTTAACAGTTTCGACAACCAACTGCTTCTAGAAAGCTTTAAATCCTCGGACATAGCCTTTGATGAAGCAGCCGCCACTGCAGCAACAGTACTCTTCTCCACAATAGGCCCTTGCTTCCCGGTATTACTAGACTTATCCGCCGTAGCAGCAGTTCCCCCTTTATCTACCAAACTCCCCGCCTTCCCAATACTGGGTTGGCTACTGGGCAACCACTTAGATCCCTGTAAGAAGGGGATGATGGAAGCCAGCTTAACCGGTGAAATCCCAAAAACACCCGTAAAAGAAGAAACGATCGACGATGAAGAAGACGAAGAGGAGGATGTAGAAATCGTATTTTTTTACTTCCAAAAAAACCCCTGCCTCGCCGTTGGTTTCTGTACAGATACATGTGTTTTGGGTAGCGACGCCGTATAAGTCCTCAATTGGCATAAGAATTTTAGTTAAGGGACTTAATTTGTGCGATAAAATGTTGAGGGACCAAATCGACTTTAGTAAAATAGTTTGAGGACTAAATTGACGATTTTCCCTAAAAGTAAGTGTTGAAGCTTTTAAGAATTGAGAAAAGAGCAGTAAAAGCTGATGATAGATAACCTGATAGAAGAAAGTCAACAATGGTTTTAAATTAGGATTGACAAAGCATATGCACTGTGCATCTGGCATTTCTTTTTTTGGAACATAAAAGCATCTTGGAAATTGTAGTGGTTTTTTCTCTTGTTTTGGGAATCAAAGTTCAAGAGTGGTTTATCCATGAGCATTTCATGTTATTATCTACTAGATAAAATATACCCATGAGCATGTTCATGGAATTAATGTGGTGAATCAGTTTAAGATATCTTTCTTTTTGTGCGCATGCATGTGTGTGTGTGTGTGTTCTTTTGGGAGTTATTGCTATATGCTTATCATTGTTGTATGTCATTCCGCTTGTAGGGCGTGGGCGAGAAGATTCAGTATTATTTTCAAGTCCATCGAAGATTTCCATCACAATTCAGAGGTCATTCTTGTCTCTGTGTGATTTTGTCAGCACAAGGTGCCATATCCGGTCCTAGAATGAACATGCGAGGAGCACAAGTCATTTTTGAGGTTGTATCTTTTTGCTTTCTCTCAATTTTGCAATTGCTTTGCTTGTTATTGTGTGACTGTTGAATCTCAGGCTAAATATCAGCAGTGATGTTATGATAACAGCTTTGCTTGTTGTTGTGTGACAGTTGAATCTCAGGCTAAATATCAGCAGTGATGTTATAATAACATCTATGCAATAGGGAATGGTAATTTGATTGCCCCTAGAGGGTGTCACTTAGTAACACGTGGTAACAATTTTAAGCTTGATCTTTACATACATACATACATACATACATACATACATGTATGTATGTATGACATGTATGTATGTATAAAATATAACTGAAGGATGCTTGAGGTTGGAAAACTTCGGCCTCTCTGTCAGAAGGATAATGTTGTTCAGGCTGAAATTTGGGGAAAAAATTGTAGTGAAGGACCCTCTTTACATGTAATTTCATATTTAGTTGGAACCCTTCAGTTTGTAGAAGAAGCCTGATCTTTTGATCAGGAAAGGTGGGAAAAATCGGCTTTCGTTTCGAAATTTCGCCTGATTGTATTGGGCTCGAAAAATGGACGCATTCATGATTTCAGGACCTCAGGTTGATATCTTAGACACTGCTATCTCTAAATGCACCTCAGCTTGGTATAATTGTTGGAGTAGTTCTGACCTTTGGTTATTGCTGTTGCTCAACTGCTTGATATTTCTTTCAGTCCATATACATATCTATATGCAAGCATACTAGTGGTGAAGATTCATTCAGAAGCTCACATGTGCAGGGACTATATGAGATAGTTCGTCTCTCAGGCTTCTTCTTCGTTTCTAACAACGGCCAGGTGCAGCTGTCGGACAGTTTGAAATTGACCTTTCGTGATCCAGATGGTGGGGTTTTCGGTGGCCCTGTGATTGGTTCGCTGATTGCTGCCACACCTCTTCAGGTTCAAACTTTCCATTTCTAGTTCCATCTTCTGTTCGTGATGTTTTGAGTCTCAGGTTAAGAAGAAAGCCGATCTCTTTTGTGTACGTACTGTTATCTGTTGAATACAACTTCTGCAAAGATTGTCCTTTCCGTTTGTCTTCCGTGTTCACTTCATCGTTTAGATACTTGGTGTGAGGTCCTGTTCTTGTCCATTAGCCTATAGTACTCACTCACTCCTGTATTCTTAAAGTACATAGCTGATCCATTTGTTTGCCAGCTTTGTTTAATCAGATTCATCTGTAATTTGACTTCACTTTTCAATTCTCTGCCTTCCCATGTCATAGGAGGCATAGAGAGCTTCTGAACCTGAAGTTACATTGCTCATCTCCCTTGTGATTCTCTCTCCTCATTTGCCAGGAAATGATGTACTCGACTCGTGGAATTTCTACTTCATAGTTTCTTGAATTTGTGTCGGCTTATCTCATGTTTGTAAGTGTCTTGGTTATGTGTCAGCATAGGAGGCTTGGTTTAACAAGAAGTATTTTTGTACTTGCGTGGTTCTATTGCAGGTTGCAGTGCTTACCTTCATCCATGATGCATGAAGAACAGAGATAAGAATCGGCAAAGCCGCCCAATGATCTGGCCTTTTCATTATTGGCTCTGGTTATGTTTTTCGGACGAGGGAATTAGTTTCGGGTGTCTCTTTGTTTGATGGATGTTTTCATGCATTTCAGGCTTGTAGACTTGGCAGCATGCATTTTTGCGGCTTACTTTCCTCATGTTCTGTCTGGGTTTGGACGCATGAACGTGAAACTACAGAAAAATGATTTTCATAAGCGTGGGTATTGTTGTTTAGATGAAAATCTTTTGCATCAGCTGCTGTCATTTCTAAATGCAAAGGAAGATCACTATTAAAAGGGTTACACCTTGAATAAAGAAAATGAATCCAACACGGGAACAAAGAAAAAAAAAGGTGTGAAGCCTGCGTATTTTGACATGCTACTCGAAAATAACACTAGGCATGATATTATTGGGACTCCCCAGGGAAAGTTAGCCCTATCAGTTCGTTCACCAGACAATGCAGCGATTATAGACAGACATAGCAGAGCAAGTAAATGAGGCACAACAGCGAGGCATATGGCAGGCAACTTCCGTCAACTTGGTCCTGTAACCTCCTAACAAACCGATCGCCCACAAATGCCTTCCCATGAATCGCTCATTCTTTTGAGTATTAAACACAAAACAATGAGGAATCGCGGCCATTCGCCAAAGTAACGTATGCTGTGTTCAATTCATAGTACAGTAAAATTTTGTAGTCATATTAAGCAACTAACGAAAATGACGAACAAAAGTAGATGGTAGGTATAAGTAGAAACATCATCGGTGCGTCAGTAAAACTCCAGAGTCGGTCATACAAAATGTCTCTCCATTCCTACACAAGCAAGACAGCATTTATACAACCATCATTCTCAGGATTATTTGTCACTTGAGCATACTTTCCTGCATTGAAAACACAAATGACAATAAGAACACACAACTAAAAACTGAAATGAAGGGCCCCTCCTAGTTTCCGAGACAAAAATGAAAGCACAATCTTACCCCAAACAACTTTTCCTGCAGGAGTTACAAGACCTAATTCACTGACATTCACCTGATATTCAAGTCAGAATACATTAGCAATTATACATCACTCAACCTGAAAGACTATATATTTATGCAACATCAGATTTAGATGTGTACCTCAATTATAGTTCCCTTGGTTACAACACCAAGAGATGTATACATTGGACCATTGGGATTTTTCTTCACTCCAATAATTTCAAGATTGAAGGTACATTTAAGTTCAGGATGAGTCACGTGAGCCTTGGTGAACCTTAAACCGGTTGGTCGGATGAACCGCTCATATTTGGGTGGCTTCCTTGTAAAACTTGGACCCACAAAAGTCGCTTTAGTGATCATCCTCTTCCACTGCTTTGCTGTGAATAAACCCCAAAAAAAAAAAAAACAGCACGCCAGTAAACAAAATTTCACTGTTGACTCACGCAATGCACATTTGAACATACACAAAGAACTAAATAACGCAAGCGACAGGTAAATTACTTACTTTTCCTTTTCCCAGATCTGATTACTCTGAACATCTCATCCTCAGCCACAGGGCGGACCTATATATCAAAGAACTAACAATGAGAAAGTTGATTAATTCAAGTATAAGAAATTCACAACCACATGACAACCAGGAACTTAGCAACCAGCAAAATGTCTCAGGAAAACTTGTGCTTCTACAAGGCCAACTTCCAAAAGCTCCCCCCTTTTTGCCTAAAATTTTAACTACTACAAAAATGTCAGGAGGCAACTGGATGATTCAAGTCGGGAGATGATTAAAGCAACAGAAACGTGGAAGGTAGGGGCAATTTTCCCAAAAAAACTTCCTTAAACAAAAAGGGGAGAACCTAGAATTTTTTTCCTTTAGAGAGAGAGAGGAAAACTCGAGCTAACTAAAGTGATATTGGCTCCCCAGATGGTATGGTTCTCAACAAAAGTGTAACTCCAACAGCCAAGACAAGTCCCATACAAGCCAATCACAAACATTGGGAACAGGGAAAAGAGGAAACCAGCAGGGAATTGATCTCCTTGGCAAAGTTCCCTTGGTTCATGTACAACTGAAGCCAGACATCCATCATTCTACTTAAAGATCCTAGGAAACATACCATCAATTAGACAGCTGCAACCCCCCCCCCCCCCCCAAAAAAAATAAATGAATGAAATTTTCTCTGATTTATGCATCATATCAGCTTTTAGACATTTCATACGTTGAGAACTTTACTAATTTTTGCTGTCAGGTTTTATCTGCCTTTGTGCTTTTATACACCCAAAATTTAGAAGCACGTAATGGCACGGGCCAAGAGTTTTCTGGGATTGGCAAACCGAGGATGAAGAGACAAGTGAGTAGAATAACAACGTAGCTTAGAGTAAGCCAAGTTACTGCAAGCTGTACATTATGGGATATGGACATGAAAATCAAACTGCCACAAATCCCGCCGGGGGGTGACATCATTTAATTCTTTCAGCGATTGCGAAAGACAGTGATATCCAAAATGCAAGGCAAGCCTAACAAACTGAGGCACCCACCTTGGGAAGAGGTACATCCCATTTTCCAGCTTTTTCTTTCCTCTTCTGCTTTATAGTGTTGCTGAGAACCTAACAAAAAGGAAGATAGATGAAAATCAGCAATCAGTTGTACGAACAATTTAAGCAAGAACTAGAGATTGGTAATGAAAAAAGGGTGCCTTGGCTCTAGTAGTAGATTCACGATCAAGTAGATAAGCAGGAACAGCTCCTTCATGGACATCGTCTTCAACCTGGCGCCGGGCTGATGACTCCTCATGCATAGCCAAACTGTCACACAGCAATGCAAAAGGAAAAGGTGTAAACCAAAAGCCCCATATTATCGACAGCTAATAAACTAATGACCATCTCATCTTAGGGTTCTATTAAAGTAAGCAAAGGGAAATGTTGCAACTGATACTGCGCCCAGCGTCAAAACGACTTGATTGTGATTAAGCTCTTGAACTTAACGAGTAGACATATAAAAGAAGAAAACAAAAGCCTAGAAAGATCTAACAAGTAAAAATATCCATATAGGAGGGGTGTAAATCCAATTGCAAGTTAGCATGAATAAATAGTGCAGATAACACAAAAAGGTGCTTACCAAAAAAAAGGAAAGAAAGATAATAAGAGTGAAAAGTGATGGAGAAGCATACGTTTTCTTCATGAGGGCTTTCTCGGCATATCGCTTCTTAGCAAACATCTTACCCTTAATACCCAGCGCCTGCCGAAAATGGAAAATGGAAGTGTGAAAAAAAGAGGAGAATTTCGCCATTGAGGAATTAGAAAAGCATAGAGGGAGGGACAGAAGAGAGGGGAAGAAAGAAGGGACCTTTTGGGCAAATTGGGAGCGCTTGTGAACTTCACGAGCTTCCTTCTTGCGTTTGCGCTGGAAGTGGTCATGGCGGTAGCCATTTCTCTTCCTGTGAAGCTCTATATAATCTCCCTGCGGCTGCACTCCCCGCCAGCACCCCCACCCCCAAATAACGTTTATTTGGTTAGGTTTACAGCAAATTCTAATGAATATATAATTTGTACCGTACAAAACAAACACAAATCATCATACTAAAAAAATCATACCATGATTGATTATTACTACTTCCGTTATTGTTGATACACTTGAAGAGAGAAAATGAACAAAGGCTTTGAGCTTTTCTGGTCGTCGTCGAACTCCGCCTCCTCAGGAGTCAGGGCTCCAGCTCCCCAGGACGACTATTACAGTGGAGTACTATCTCATCCAAACCCTAGAAACCTCTTTCCTTTTTGACTTTTTGGTTTTCCACCAACTTTGTTGGTTTGTGCCAAACACGTATCGGCCAGATGAGAAAGTGGAGGATTCCTCACCCGATGAGGTATGGACTTGTGAGATAGCCCAAAAAATGAATGATAGGACCACAACTATCGGTCGGCCCACCTTTTCCTTTATTCTCCTTTTTGTTATTGGGTACGTCAAATAATTTTTTTTTTTTTTAAATGTAAGCGGGAGGATTTAAACACAAACCTCTCGCTTATATTTCCTTCCCCATACCATCCAACTCATCACTCCGTATACTACATATGCAGTAACACATAGCAGCCCGAATGTCTTAGTGTTACTCATTTTTTGGAGGTCTAACACAAAATGCTCCCAAGTAATTAAGGGTGAGTAGAAAATCTTCGTAAAATTTACGGATTATTCTGTAAAGACTAACAATAAAAAATCCACTCTAACTTTTCGTTTACACGTACTATACATGGATTTATATTTTAATTCAAAAAAATACTATATACTTATTTATTGCAGCGCATGATATAGTATACGAAAAAAATTAAAAATTTCAAAAAAGTGTATGCTTAGCATATTCAAAAAAAAATTTATTTCGTGAGCACAAAATAGACTTTCTTAATTTCAACATCTTAAATAAATTGAAACCAAATTTTGTTTGCCTATTATCTATCAATATACGATAAGAATTTGAATAAAATAATTTTATTTATAATAATTTACATGATAATGCATTTGTAAACCTTTTTATGAATAGTCGATGAAAAATAGCATGTTATATCTATATATCAAAAATTATAATAAAAAATCATAAAATACAACAAATTCATTTTTCTTGATTTTAGAAAAAAAAAAAATCTCCCATTTTGTACCACTAATATTGTTTAGTGTTTATCAAACAGTGTTTTTCATATGCTCTAATATGGATTACAAAAAATCTTTGTAAGATATATTATTAGAGTTTTCAAATTTATTAAAACTATTACCCTTTTCGTCCATTCTTACCTGTCAACTGGCCATTTGCTACTTCTTATGACTTTCACACGATTCTACCATTGTGCCATCCTTTCTATCATTTTTTGTCATCTCTGTTATATTTCCATAATTCTTTTTTTTTCTTCCCTCCTCTCTTTGCACAACTTTGTTGTTTACTTTCCTTTTTTGACTTTTCTTGCCACTCTTTAAATCCTCACTATTCTCTTTTCCCCTGTCTCTAGCTTCCTATTATCGCCACTTAACTTCTTACCCCTTTCTCCTCATCATTCTTCCAAACCCTATTCCCCCACGGCCAACCTCCTTCATTTCCTTTTCCTCTACTTCTTTCTTGTTCTTTTACTTGCCAAATCAAAATAAAGTGATATCAAAGTTTTTCACTTGAGATATATTATGTTATAAACAATATATAGTTTTCTCTTATATACTTATAAGAATTACATACATACATGTGTATATAACATGCTCTATGTG